AGACAGAAAGCGAGAAATCACCCCCCAGGGGGGATGGTCACGCCGCAATCCCTTCTCCTCCCTTCTCCTCTTGGGATCTTGGGCACGCACGCACACGCGCCCGGCGTGAGATTTAAGCCACCGGGTCCGAGACGCGAACCGCGGTCGACTACGTGGGAGTCCAGCGACACAGCCATTATGCTAACTGCTGGTTCCCCCCCATCCTAATCTTATACTTTTTATTTTTTTAGGTTTTTGTCATAGGCTGCATACACTCATCGGAAAAAGAGAGGGAGGGAAAGTGAGAAATCATTCCCCCTGGGAAGATGGCCTCACTATAGTCCCTTCTTCACCACTGTCTTAAGATTTGGGGTATGCACATATAGGTGCCTGGTGTGATTTTCAAGCCAACAGGTATAGGACTCAAACCACAGTCAGCCATGTGGGCATCTAGTAACTCAGCCACTACACCACCTACTGGCCTCCTAATCATATACTTTTAAATGCATATATGTGTGCATGTTTAAAAATATACATAATAGGACTGACCCTATAGTTCTATTGTTAAGGAAGCTGGTTTGAAAAACAATCACACCCCACTGGAGAGTGCTTTCTTTCTCTCTTTCCAGCAAGTGCATGCATCCTTCTCTAGCAATAAAATAAATAAATAAATAAATAAATATTGCTTTCTGTAAATTAATCTCACTTACAAACAGACAATTCAAAAGACCATGCATAACAAGTATGAGAACCTGTAAACTGATGAAATGGAGTAGAAATACCATGGCCAGAAGGGCCTGTGGCAGGACATTGGAACCAAGCTGCACAGAGAGGTTTTCCAACCCCTACAACACAGGGAACTACTGAAGGCAAGAAAAGAACCAGGTTTTTAATTTTTTTTTCTTTTTCTCTCTCTCTCTCTCTTTTTTTTTTAAGATAGGTTTTTGCTAGGGCGTGTTTGCTCACTGGAGAGACAGAGGGACAGATAGTGAGAAATCAACCCCCAGAGGGGATAGTCACACCATACTCCCTTCTCCTCCACTCTCTTTCATTCTCCTCTCGGGATTTTGGGCATGCACACACATGCACTTGGCGTGAGTTTTAAGCTGCCAGTCTGGGACTCAAACTGCAGCCGACTACATAGGAGTCCAGTGACATAACCATTATGCCATCTACTGATCCTAAATTTTCTTCTTAATACTTAGTTGAGATCAAAGGAAGAAGGAAGCTCCCCAGCTGTGAGAATTAAAGAAACTAATGCTTGACACTCCAAAGGCAAACTACACCCCAGTAACTTACCAGATTTCCAGTCCCTGATGTAGGCCCAAGAAGCCCTCGAGACAGAGGGAGTAGGACTGAGATCTCTGCTCCAGCCCTTAAAGGGCAAATAGTAAAGCCTGAGCTGAGTCCATTCCTATCTTTGTGGAAGGAAGGAAAAACCCACACACCAGTGATCTATTGTTGTATAACCAAGACTCCAAAATGTAGTGGTTTCATGGGTTGGCCTGGGGAGCTACTGCTGCACTTTTCTGACTCACTGTGAGGCTACATCTGCTAGAGGATGGGCTGGAGCTGGGCCCTTCTCCTCTGTGGTGTTTCATCCTCAAGGACAAGGTCAAGGCTCCCTTCATGCTGATAAAAGTGGTCACAGAAAACAAGCTCAGTGTGCAAGTGCTTATCAGGACTTGATTTGTGTCCTGTTTGCTGGTGTCCCATGGCCAAGCCTGAATTCACGGTGAGGAGAGGAGGTAGAGGAAGGAGGAGTGGGATAAAAGGGTACAGACAGCATGAGTGCCATTCCTTGAAAGCTTCCATAGTCACCCTTGCACATGTCCCAAATGTACACTGCTAATGTGGCACAGGAGCCACAGCAAGAGGGAATATAAAATGTTCCGGAACCACTGAAATATTCAGATATCTGCAAGACACAATGCAAAACCACTCTGGAATACTCTGACAAACCGATGCACAAACACTCTGCCCACTGAAATGAACTCAGAATCTACATATACAAACAGCAGAAGGAACAACATTCTGACAGGCAAGCAAGGTGCCACCATGGCATTAACAAGAACCAGCTAGTCCAGACCATCTGAAGTAAACCACTGAAAAGTCAGGGAACAGCTCCTGAATCCCCCTCACTTCTAACACCAACTGTACATTCAATAAGTTGCTGAAAGAACGCACAGATCCCACCAAAAGCTTCTATACTCATGGTTATAGTTTATTATAGCTAGAGGCCACAGATTAAAGTCAGTCAAGATTCAGAGGCACTTGAGCAGAGCCTAGGAAAGATCCAGTGCATAAGTTCCGCTGTCTTTTTCCTGGAGGGTCCTAGTCAGTACTAACTTCTTTCTTTTTTTTTTTTTCAATTGCCTAAGCATATGTGCTCACCAGAGAGAGACAGAGAAACAGAGGGAGAAACCACCCATAATGGGACGTGGTTATACCCCAAACCCTTCTTCACTTCTCCTGTCCATATTTTGGATGTCTATACACACATAGCTGGCATGTTCCTCAAGTGAGGAGGGTTGAGATTTGAACCATGTTTAGCCATGTGAGATCTGGCTCCCTTAACAACTAGGGCATGGGACTGGCTCAATAGCACTAACTTCTCCCAGCAATAGTATGTGACATCATACATAGAATACCACCAACAAGGGAAGCTTACCCAAACTGTGGTGTCCAGAATTTTCACTGGATCCTTTCACACAGTCTTAGTCGACTGTCCATATGGCAGACCCCTCCCTAGAGGTCAAAAGGATACTATATGACCCAAAGTCCTACCGTAAATCACATTGTTAGACTACCCAGTGACCCAAATTCCCCACGTATACAAGAATAGTCCATCAGTCTTGCAATGTCCAGCCTACAGGTCCCAAAGCTATTTCCATGGCTACACATGCTCCTTGGCCAGTCCACCATCCTCACACAGTCTGTGCCATCCACAAAGCATGAAGGGGAGAGTGTCCAGAGCCTGGATGTGCCATGTATAGTCCCCCATGATGTGAAGTGGCACTAGGTGTGGGAAGAGAAGGGACAACCTGTGGCAGACAGGCCATGGATGGGTGCCAGAGGCCAGCTCTCCCATACTCCAGAACTCCAAGAAGTCTGTGAATTCTTCTCGAACCTGGCACCTTGCCTTCCGAGCCACAGTGATGTATTAGTGCAGATAGGAGAATAGTATATTTACTTCATCATTTTTCCTTTTTTTTTTTTAGAGGTTTTTGCTATAGCGCATGTGCACTCGCCAGAGAGACAGAGACAGACAGAGAGACAGAAAGCGAGAAATCACCCACCAGGGAGGATGGCCACGCCGCAATCCCTTCTCCTCTATTCTCCTCTCGGGATCTTGGGCACGCACGCACATGCGCCCAGTGTGAGTTTTAAGCCACCGGGTCTGGGACACGAACCGCGGTTGACTACGTGGGAATCCAGCGACATAGCCATTACGCTAACTGCTGGTCCCAATTTTTCCATTTTTAAAAATATTAAATATTTCAACTTATGTGGCATATAGCTTTGAGTCCCATAAATGAGGCCATGGCTCAGAGAAAACAGACCAGCATTTCTCAGACCTTTTGATATCTTGTGGAAAAAGCTACATTTTTAACTAAAACTCAATGCATATATCTTTGTGTAAATGTATGTACTTAGTAAGAGACAGAGGGAACCAGCAGTTAATGTAATGGCTATGTCGCTGGACTCCCACGTAGTCGACCGCAGTTTGTGTCCTGGACCCGGTGGCTTAAAACTCACGCTGGGCACGTGTGCGTGCATGCCCAAGATCCCGAGAGCAGAATGGAGGAGAAGGGATTGCGGCGTGACCATCCCCCCTGGGGGGTGATTTCTCGCTTTCTGTCTCTGTCTGTCTAGCGAGCGCACGCGCCCTATAGCGAAAACCTCTCTAAAAAAAAAAAAGAGAGAGAGACAGAGAGAAAATCTGACTAAAATGTTTCATTAAAACATGACTCTGGCTCATGCTGTGTATTCAACTATTTGTCTGCATTGTATTTTTTTTTTTTCGTTGTTTTAAACAATAGCCTGTGTATGCACATATCAGAGCAAGGGAGAGAAAGAAGCACCCTCTACAGGATCTTGTCATACCACAATCTCCTTCCCCTAGCCCTGCAGCTCCTCAGGATCCAGGGTACTCATCTGTGTCAGCAAGTTCTCCAGCTGACCCTGGAATCTGAACTCTCGGTTGACATGTGGCTTTCAGCCTTGTGGGACACTTGCACTACAGCTTTACCACAGTGGTTGGGTCACATTTCCATCTGAATTCTGTTCTAAGCTGGCCTATGCCACTTGGAAGTGCTTGTCATGTCCCCTAGGTTAAAGTCCTTAATGGGTCATGAAAAGTACAAGATCAGAAGATGACCCAGAGGTCCTCAAAATCACCTCTGGTACATGTTAGAAGGGGCTCAGCAAATTGGCAGAGAAAAAATAGAAAGATATCTTTATGATATTTATAATATGGTACAGTCAGATTTCTTAACATGGAGAAAGGAAAAGATATATCTGAGTACATTAAAATTCAAAACTTGCCATGATAAAATACATCACACACAGCTAAAAAAAATAAGCCAAAACTATAAAAAGATATCTATAATACAAATAGCCACCAAAGAATTAGTATCCAGGATATGTGAAGAATTCATAAAAAGTAAATAAGATTATAAAACCCCAATTAAAAAAAAATAAGCAAAGAGGGCTAGTTCTGAGCTCAGCAGTTAAGGGAGCTGGATCCCATGTGGCCAACATGGTTCAAATCCTGGCCCTGGTGGCTTAAGAAACACACCAGGCACATATGCATGCAAGTCTAAAATCCTGAAAGGAGGAGGAATGGAGAAAAAAGGATTGCAGCATGACCATTCTCCACTGGGAGATGCTTTCTCTCTCTCTCTCTCTCTTTCTATCTATCTATCTCTATCTCTCTCAAGGGCCTGGACACTCTAGAGAACAACCTCAGGAAAGACCTAGCACTTTCCCTAGAAGGACTCAGACTTAGGGGGCTGGCAGGTGGCGTGGTGGTTAATTAAGCACCCGGGTCTGGGACACGAACCGCGGTTGACTACGTGGGAATCCAGCGACATAGCCATTACGCTAACTGCTGGTCCCAATTTTTCCATTTTTAAAAATATTAAATATTTCAACTTATGTGGCATATAGCTTTGAGTCCCATAAATGAGGCCATGGCTCAGAGAAAACAGACCAGCATTTCTCAGACCTTTTGATATCTTGTGGAAAAAGCTACATTTTTAACTAAAACTCAATGCATATATCTTTGTGTAAATGTATGTACTTAGTAAGAGACAGAGGGAACCAGCAGTTAATGTAATGGCTATGTCGCTGGACTCCCACGTAGTCGACCGCAGTTTGTGTCCTGGACCCGGTGGCTTAAAACTCACGCTGGGCACGTGTGCGTGCATGCCCAAGATCCCGAGAGCAGAATGGAGGAGAAGGGATTGCGGCGTGACCATCCCCCCTGGGGGGTGATTTCTCGCTTTCTGTCTCTGTCTGTCTAGCGAGCGCACGCGCCCTATAGCGAAAACCTCTCTAAAAAAAAAAAAGAGAGAGAGACAGAGAGAAAATCTGACTAAAATGTTTCATTAAAACATGACTCTGGCTCATGCTGTGTATTCAACTATTTGTCTGCATTGTATTTTTTTTTTTTCGTTGTTTTAAACAATAGCCTGTGTATGCACATATCAGAGCAAGGGAGAGAAAGAAGCACCCTCTACAGGATCTTGTCATACCACAATCTCCTTCCCCTAGCCCTGCAGCTCCTCAGGATCCAGGGTACTCATCTGTGTCAGCAAGTTCTCCAGCTGACCCTGGAATCTGAACTCTCGGTTGACATGTGGCTTTCAGCCTTGTGGGACACTTGCACTACAGCTTTACCACAGTGGTTGGGTCACATTTCCATCTGAATTCTGTTCTAAGCTGGCCTATGCCACTTGGAAGTGCTTGTCATGTCCCCTAGGTTAAAGTCCTTAATGGGTCATGAAAAGTACAAGATCAGAAGATGACCCAGAGGTCCTCAAAATCACCTCTGGTACATGTTAGAAGGGGCTCAGCAAATTGGCAGAGAAAAAATAGAAAGATATCTTTATGATATTTATAATATGGTACAGTCAGATTTCTTAACATGGAGAAAGGAAAAGATATATCTGAGTACATTAAAATTCAAAACTTGCCATGATAAAATACATCACACACAGCTAAAAAAAATAAGCCAAAACTATAAAAAGATATCTATAATACAAATAGCCACCAAAGAATTAGTATCCAGGATATGTGAAGAATTCATAAAAAGTAAATAAGATTATAAAACCCCAATTAAAAAAAAATAAGCAAAGAGGGCTAGTTCTGAGCTCAGCAGTTAAGGGAGCTGGATCCCATGTGGCCAACATGGTTCAAATCCTGGCCCTGGTGGCTTAAGAAACACACCAGGCACATATGCATGCAAGTCTAAAATCCTGAAAGGAGGAGGAATGGAGAAAAAAGGATTGCAGCATGACCATTCTCCACTGGGAGATGCTTTCTCTCTCTCTCTCTCTCTTTCTATCTATCTATCTCTATCTCTCTCAAGGGCCTGGACACTCTAGAGAACAACCTCAGGAAAGACCTAGCACTTTCCCTAGAAGGACTCAGACTTAGGGGGCTGGCAGGTGGCGTGGTGGTTAAGGGTGCCGGACTCCCAAATGGCCATCCTTGGTTCTAGTCCCAGACCTGGCGGCTTGCTTTCTCACTTTCTCTCTCTCTCCCTCTGTATCCTTCTCTGGTCAAAGTAAAATAAATAAGTAAATAAAATTAAATTAAATAATTCTTTAAACAAAAAAAAAAAGAAGGACTCGGACTCACCGGGGCAGTTTCTCCCACAATGAAATGCACACCCAAATCTCCAGCACCTAGACAATGCCTGGATGGAACTGAGACTCCACCTTTCTAACTAGTTTCCAGGCATTGCAAATGCTGCCAGTCCATGAACCACACTTTAAATAGCATGAAACCAGGAGATCATATGGGTTCATTCCTCGTGAGTGTTCAACCAAAGCTTTTTATAATAGTGAAAAATTAGAAATAACCTAAGTGCCTGTAATTATGGAAACAAATGTTAAAACTCGTGTCTATTCCAAAAGCGAAATATTCTGCACCTGTTAAAATGAATGTACCAAGCCTACGAAAGCATCACCATAAGTATAGTGTAGAACAAAAAAGCACACTGCAAAATAACTTACATATATTTTAAACTCATACATACATAGTAAAGGAATATAAATAGGAATCAGAAGAACATACACAAATTTCAGGACAGTGGTTTCTTCAGGAAGCTGAATACAGAAGGAATAGAAAGGAACTTCACCTATAAGGTTTTATGGGGTTTTTTTAAAATGTCTGATTCCAAAAGTAAGGTAACCATTTTATGGGTATTTGAAGACCTTTATCTTCATAAAGCAAAGACAAGGTATAATTATATTCAAGGACAGTGTCTCAGTTTAAAAGAATAAAATTTTCCATCCCATCCTTTTCTTGGAATAAGTGTCATGGAGCTTGTATAGCTATAAAAACAATCCTGCTAGCCATGAGTTTTATTCATCCTGTTTCAACCAGAAAATCTCCACATATCAAGAGCTCCTGCTCTCTAACCTCATCCTGCTTCAAGCACATAGCACATGGTCTCTGAGAGTTGATTTCTGCACCTACCCTTCAAGAGAAGTCCTGCTGGGAGAGAGGGGAGCAGAAGGATAGCTGGTGGGGATGTCGAGAATGTACATCCGGGATTCGCTTCTCTGGGCTACAGCCACACAGGTACACACTCAAGACAAGGCAGCAGGACAGGATTTGTGAATGTGGTTCCCAGAGACAGACGCCCCTGAAACCCTGTCATGAGCACTTACATGTGGTCCAGGTTCCAGGTGCTGAAGAGGACCCTGCTCTCCCTGTTACCGTAGGGGTTGATGGAGTGTTTAGACAGGCAGTCATCCATGTCAAAAGGACCCTGAGGCCAAAAGAGAACAGGGGATGCCAGAAATGAGTCTCTTCTCTGCTGGTTTCTAACATCATGTCAAATAACTAGCTATGATATATGCCCTACCAGGAACTTAGTCCCTGATAAACAGTATGCTGCTTTGGGGAGATTAAGAATTTTGCCTTTGGGGGACCAGCAGATGGCATAAGGTTTACATCACTGGATTCCCATGTAGTTGATAGTGGTTAGAGTCCTGGACCTGGCAGCATAAAACTCACATCAGACATGTGTGCATGTGTGCCCAAAATTTTGAAAGGAGAATGGAGGAGAAGGGATTGCAGTGTGATTATCCCCCTGGGGGGGGGGCGCAGTGATTTCTCACTTTTTGTCTCTCTGTCTCTCTAGCAAGTGCACATGCCCTATAGCAAAAAAAATATTTCTCTAAAAAAGAGAATTTTGCTTTTGGACTTGTATCCATTCTTTTTCCATCATTACCCTTAACATCATATCCTGAGTTTCCAAAGGGGACATTAGTTATTGTCACTGTTATGACAGCTTTCTTTATGGTGAGCCTCCCACAACTCTCTGCTGAAACAGACCCATCATCTCCAGCGCCCCCATGCCTGTGCAATCACACACCACTATCCCCAACTCACTGGCAGCAGAGGACAGGGGAGGCACTGACTTCCCAGGGCCACAGTCAGTGCATAATGAGCAGGGACTCACGTGCTCCCTTTTTATCTCCTCCACCCGGTATTTCCTTATCATCCCAACATGGATGCTGGACCACTCTGCTAAACATGACACAGCTATTGCCTCTACTTTCACGCAACCATTCAGCACACTAGTTCATTGGCAGACATCTGTGGGCAATGTGCCAAGAGCCATAACCTCACCTGCCACCCTATTTTTTCATCACACCAAAGACTTGCAGCTTCCCCAGAGGACCCCACTGCTTCCCACTACCATCCCAGGCCCACCCTAATCCCTTGTGGCTTCTACTGCTGACCCTCAGGCATCATTTAACTCAGCTCTAAAGCTTTGCCTCCTTGAAGGCCCTCCTGGCTGCCTCTACTGTGCCCCAAGATACTGGCTACAACCCTGACAAGCCCTATAGCTACCTCTGCCCTTGTTTGATTATGTGCCTTTCACCTTCTGCTACTCTGAAACTGCCCTGGGGTCAGGGATAAATAAGTTGTCCCCTTTGTATCCCCAACACCTTGCCCAGTGCCTGGCACATAGTAAGTACTCATGAGTGTGTGAGCTCATCTGAAAGTTGGAATGTTAAGCTAATTTAGAAGAAACATTTTGCTAGAGCCCATCACCTATGGAAAGGAGCTGCCCAGCAAAGACAGTGGGAGCCTTGTTCAGTGGTGAGATGCCACAGAGATCATGCCTGTTCTGGACCTTGCTGCTGGGACCACACAGTAGGTTTTACTGGAAATGTGATTTGCAGTCTGCAAATGACAAGA